GGGGGGGGGTTTGTCCCATGTGCTCACAGGATTTCCAACGCTGTGACCTTCAAGCAGCCCTGGTGGTGTAGTGGTCATGCGGTGGGCTGTGGCCAGCAGTTCGAAACCATGGGCTGTTCTGCAGGAGAAGGACTGAGCTTTCTACTCCAGTCAACCGTTACAGTCGAGGAAACCCACAGGGCATCACTGGGAGTCAGCATCGACTCCATGGCAGTGAGCTTGGCTTTTAGGGAAGCAGATCACTGGGTCTGCCTCCCGAGGAGCCTCTGGGTAGGTTCAAACTCCCAACTTCCAGTTAGCAGTCAGCGTGCTTAAGTTACTTGCGAAATAAACATAGAAGCACATTATGGATAGCCAAAGACCCCACAGCCACTTACACTGAGCTGATTGACTTGTCAGGAGCCTATAGAACAGCGTAGACCTGCCCCTTTGGGTTTCTGAGACTTTAATGAATTTTGTGGGAATAGACAGCCTCATCTTTCTCCCTGGGAACAGCTGGTGGGGTGGAACCACTGACCTTGTAGTTAACCACTCAGTGGCTTAGCCCACTAGGCCACCAAAGCTCCTTAGATCACACATACATCTTCATGGTGACATGGTTCCTGGGAGCCTTACACAAAGCTGTCTCCCATAAGCATGACGAACCATTTGCCTGGGGTCAGTTCTGACAGGCCAACCCCCCACCGTGTGGCAGAATCGAACTGGGTTCCGTAGGGGTTTTAGTGGCTGATTTTTTTTTGAGAAGTAGATCAACAGGCCTTTCTTCCAAAGTGCTTCTGACTGTACTTGACCCTCCAACCTTTGGGTTAGGCGTCCAGCTCTCAGAAGGCAGACAGACATCTTGGTTTTGCTTTGTTTACTGACAGTGCCCAGGGTTCCCCAAACAATGTGGAGCACCCAGGCTCAAGAAACCGGAGGTGTGTGTCTCTCAGTAGTTGGGCACACGGACATGTGAGTGCGGGAAAGAGGGAGAATGCAGAGAACCAGGTAGAAGGCTGGGTCTCCTGTGGAAGGCCTGCCAGGCAAACCCAGCCAGCACCTTGGCTGATTGCTGGATCACTAGGGTCAAGGGAGGGGGGCGGGGCAGCTCCTAAACTCCAGGGCCTTGTCAACGCAGAGAGCAAGCTGCCCGTCCTGGCGGCCTGACCCACAGGGATCACTGGATTCTTGGTCAAAGATGCCATCGAGTCTGCTCCATCTCAAAGCGATTCCATGCACAACACAGTGGAACACTGCCCGGGTCTCCACCACCCTCACAACTGGCATGTCCAACTCACCATCACCCAGTAGGCATTCATAGCCGCTTGCTGCGGGGACCCCTAGTAGGTAATTCACAGCTGGTTGTTGAATGAGGCTGGGATCAAGAGCAGACCTGGAATTGGGGCAAGGGGTCAGAAGGTGGAGGCCACCTGGCCAGGCAAGCCACGTCGTTTGGTGCTGCATGACGTCACGCGCCGGCCGACTCTCACGGGTGGGGGCTGGGCGGGGCAGGGCGGGAGGTGGCCGGGGGGCGGCGGACAAAGGGGTCCTGCGTACCGCCCCCGTCGGCCCTTTTGCGGGGGCCCCCGACTGGCCACATCTGGAATTCATTGCCGCCGCCGCCGGAAAGGGGCGGAGAGGAGGGCGGGGAGAGCTGGGGGCGCTGAAGCGGTGGCTCTCTCCGCCCCGCCTCCGTGCGTCCGTCCGTGGTCCCCAGCCCCGGGACGCTGCCGAGCCCGGCGGGCAACCCCAGCCCCAGCCGCGGCCGCCCCGGGGACTCAGACGCCGAGTCCCCTCCGGCCAGGGCAGGGACCCGGGCCGGCCACGCCAGGTGAGCACGCGTGGTGGGGTGGAACCACTGACCGGGAGGCGGACTGGGGAGCAGAAAGGGCGGACCCCGGTCCCCTAAGGTGGGGAGATCTAAGGGGGTGGTGGTGGTGGGGAGAGCCGGCCAGGGGCCGGGGGCGCACTGAGGCACGCACGCGCCGCCTGTGCTCCTGCTGCACCAGAAGGTGGTCCCGTGTGCCCTCCCCACGACCCCAGGCGACTCCCCCTGCCTCAGCAGAGAACCCCAGGACTTTGCACCCCGCCTTCCCCAGCGGCAGGAAGTTGGCGCCGAGAAGGCGAAATCCCAGCTCTTTCGGCTGGAGACGCTGGGAGGGAGGCTGGTGCACCCGAAGGCTGGGGAGGGGTGGGGAGGCAAGCGAGAGGCGTCGCGGGCCCCTCCTGGTGACCAGGCCAGCTTGAAGGCCAAGGATGCAGTGCGTGGTTGAGGCTCCGAACCGAGGCGTGGAGCCCCCCGCCCCCCAGCCCAGGGCCTCTGCCTCAGTTTCCCAGCGCTTGGAGTCCTCTCGTGGGGGTGGGGCCCGGTTCTGAAAGGGCACGGAGCGTGAGCGCCGGTCCGTTCCCCAGGGGCGGGGGAGGGCATGCGCTTGCGTTCGCGTGGGGAGGCTTCTGCGTGGTCCCTGCTTGGCGAGCGCCGGGACTTCGCCCCTCCTGAGGCTCGGGCTGACTCACCCGGGGATTTCCACCCCCTTCACCCACCCGTCTGTGCCCTTGTCAGACGCTCTGGGCACCGCGCGCGGAGCCCACGGCCCCCCGGGTGGTGTGACACCGACGCGGCACTCGCGGTGCGGCTGCTGTGCCACCTCCACCCCCTCCCCGAATCTCCAGGCGGAAGCCTCGGCGAGACGGCGAGGAGCGCCCCCCCACCCCGCCCCGTCCCCATTTGGAGGTGTGGGGTCCCGCGCGAGTGGCGGTCGCGGAAGAAGAGGGAAGGCGCGGCCCCAGGGCGAGAGTGGATACCGCGCATTCCTCTGCCAGATAAAGACAGCGAGAGAGCAGCCGGGGGGCGGGACCTGCAGCTGTCTCCACGGCGACGCGCGGGGCTTCGCTGCGGGGTGGGGGGTGGGACCCAAGGGGACCGAGGTGGCGCCGGGTCTCCTGGCTGTGGCTTTGGGCCTGAGCGGCGCCTTGGCTCCTCCACCGTCAGGGCCCCAGCTGCTGCGGCCTTTTCGGCCCATTCATTCCCAATGTCGCCTGAGCGCCTACTGTGTGCCAGGACTTGCTGTGGGCACTGGGATCCGAGTTGTTGCTGGCCGCCAGCACTCGCCGTCAAAGCCAGACAGAAAACCAGAAAGCCAGTCATAATTTCCGATCGCAGCCAGTGGTGTGAAGGCAATATAGCCAGTTGCTGAGGTAGAAAGGGCTGGGGGAAAGGGGAGGCGGAGGACTGGTGCGCAGGGGAGGCCCCTTTGACAAAGTGATTTTTCATCAGAAACCTGAAGGATGGTTGTGTGTGTGTGTGTGTGTGTGGAAAACACAAGGCAAAGTGAGAAACAGGATAGAGGCCCAGAGGTGGGGGTGGGGGCAGGGATGTGGGTAGCTGGTACAGAGGGACATTTAGGAGAAATAGTGCCTTATAGCCAGGCCTGGCATCCCTCCCCAGTTCATTTATCCGGAACCCCACCTTTAGGATAGCTTTGCTATCTTTATCAGCTCAGAAATGCGAAGGCAAGTCTGTTCATCTTTTACTTAGCACATGGTGGCACTACGTGAAAATGCCAGCCGTGCCTTCCTGCTATCACGTATGAACACAGATGGGCTCAAGTCAACCCCCAGGTCCCTGTCACCCCCCACACACACACCCGCCCCCGTTTCTTCTCTTCCTGCACTCAGTAGAGCAGGATCACACAGTCTGCCTCCCCTCCTGGAGATGCTCACATGGGAAAGTCTGCTGAACTGCTGAATGATCTCTCACAGCTGGGGCTGCAGGCTGCCAGGGGACTAGACACACTGCTCAGTGGCGCCCCCTCACCCTCTCCCCCATTCAAATGGTGCCCGAGGCAGGTGCCAATACCTGCCATACCTCAGGGCAGGTAGGCGGCAAATGTGGCTGCAGCAGAGTGATTTCTGGGAAACGTCAGGGGGCAGATTGGGTGAGCAGGGACCACCCCTTCAGGACAGTGGGGAGCCCTGGAAGAATTTGGAGCTGGGGGTGATCCACTAAAGATCTAACTATTGAATCACCCCCTGGCAGAGATGACACCCCGAAGGACCTGGCCTCTGGAAGGAAATCAAAAGAGAGCTGGGGTGGAGCCACGCAGCTGCTCCTACGGGACTAGGAGGGACATCTCCTACCTTCCCCTCACCTGATTTCTAGCCACACCGCTGGCTCCATCTTCTTCCCTTCTGCCACGCTTCCCTTCCCTCCAACGCCGAGGCCTGGCCTGGTGGGTTTGGAGCCCAGGCCCTCTTCCCGAGACTGCCCTGTGAAGGTGGACGAGAGACACACTGTGCTGAGCCAGCCTGAGGGGGTAGTGGGGTTAGAAACCAAGGCCTCTGCCTGCTTGGGGGCAAGTCCTCTGCCAGCCCCAGCCTCTTGACCCAGCTTCCTCTTTCTGGGAAACAGAGACCATCCTCAAGTTCCCGCCTTCTGTTCTCCGCCAGTCAGCAGGGAAAATGGGGGTTGGGGGCCCAGTTTCCCGTCTCCGACTGCTTCTCCCTTTGCAGATGCTTGGACTGGAAACTGGACACCGCCCTGGTGTGTGTGCGCGCAGTGAGTGGGGGACGGTGCCATCTGCCCCCAGGGAAAAAGACAGACTTTTTGGTTGGTTCCCTGGGGTTCGAGGGCTGGGCTCCCTTCTTATTTCTCCAGGAATGGGCTGTAAATCTTTGTCTTGGTCACCAGACTGGGGAGGGGTGGAAGCACCCCCCCCTCCGCGTGGGCTCTGCGGTGGGAGTGGGACACGCCCTGGGCTTCTTGAGCCAGCTAGTGTGGTTCCCAGGCCTGTCACTGAAGCCTTAATTTCCCATTATGAACCCCAGGAGGGGCCCAGCGGCCCAGGGCAGGCCCGGGAGGTCTGGTGGAGGGTGACCCAGCGGTCAGGCCGCGGCGCAAACGCCCTCCAGGGACCTCGCAAAGGCTGTGCCCGCTGCGGCTGTTCAGAGACCCACCCGGCGCACGGCCCCCCGCGGTGGAGCGCCCCCAACCGGCCAATCACAGGCGCGGATGCAGCAGCCAAGGGGCGCGCCGCTCCGTGCATGGGCCGGGACGTGATCCGCGCAGGGTGCAGGCTGCTTCCCGCCGATGGCCAGTCCAGTAAGACAGCGACCTGAAGCAGGCCAGCCCGGGGCCGGCTGCAGCGGGCAGAGGGCATCGGGGCACCCAGGGCCCCGTCCGGCGGGAAAACAAGGAGCCTCTTTGTGGCAATCTGGGAGGGGCGGCCCGTCCCCAGGG